GTGCAAATACTAAATAATTATTTTGATGATCAGAATAATGACCAAATAATGAAATAATAGAAAAAAAACAAAGTTGCTTGAGTACATTTAATTCATTTTCATAATATGGACTATTTTTTGTAAAACGTTTAATAAATACTTTAATATCATCATGATTTGATTTTTTCCAAATAGCTTCAGATATTCCATTATTATTTTTACCACTAAAACGATTATGATTAAAATTTATATGATGAAAATTATTTGAATCTAAAATCCAAGTTGGATCTTCAGATGAAAGAATTAATTCATTTGTTAATGGAGTATATTTTTCTAATTGATTATATTGTGAATTATATTGCTCTAATAATTGTACACGATTTTCTTTATCATTTGGTCCCATAAGTGATAAACGATAATTCATTACTAAACATTTATATGAAGTTTCATTGACACGTACTGATAATACAACATAACGATCTTTTTGAATAGATATTGTTGATCGATTATTTATATGAATAGATGAAAGTATTTCATCATTTAATGTTTGATATCGTACAATATATGTGCCACATGGTTGTAGCACTAGAGCTTTAATAACATAGGCTGGTGATACTTTTTGAATTGTTGGTAAATTTTGCATTGACACGAAAAGAAAATATAATATCTACAACGAAGTGTCTCAAAGTAGATGCAAAGTGTTATAACGGGGAAAAAAAATCAGTTCTAATTATAGGCTTTTTTTCTTTTCTCTCATGATAAAATATGTTTTACAGTTCCGCGAAATTCTATCAAGTCAAAATATTGCTGTCGTCGAAAAAAGAATTTTGTCTTGTTCTGTTTTCCGTAGACACTACAAGTACACTTACGAGAAATATGACGTGTATTTATTTTGCTTTATGGGTTAAAATTCACCAAGGATGTGAAAATTTTCATGTCAAAGATTTTGTCCAGTCTCGTATCCAAACACACAAAAGGCGTGTCTGTTTTTTTTTTTTTACGTAAATTAATACAATCGTCTGATTTTATACCCTTAGAAAATAGTATCATTTCATAAGAGAAAAAAAAAAGAGAAGCTTTTCATCGACATTTTTTCTTTCCTATCGTAGGCTCTCCTTGAAGAATAACGACGTTGGGTTTTTCGGCGAAAAATGAATAAAAAAAGAAAAAAGAGCAACTTAAAATCCGAGAAAAGACATGATGAATAAAGAATGATAATAAATACAAGGAAAGTACAAAATATATTTCAAAATTTTCTAAGAAGTTCTATCAATAGACAACTGCATACGATATGCATCTGTATTGTCTGAATAATATTGTTCTAGAAGTTCAATTATTATAAAACCATGTTTATAATATAAGTTATATGCAGGTATATTTGATGTGTTTACTTCAAGTTCAATAGCAGAAGCACCAAATAGACGAGAATGATCTATCATATAACGTAAAAGTATTTTACCTAAACCACGACCACGTTGATTAGGATCAATACATAAATTTGCTATATGGGATACACTTTTGTATACATATTGAAGACCATATCCAAGTATTAAATTATCATTGTTAGTACTTTCAAGTATCCAACAATGCCAAAATGGATGAATAATATGATCAAAAAATGTTTCAAAAGGCCATGATTCATTCGGCCAAGTGATTTGCTCAATTTTAACTAATGTGTCAATATCAGTTAGACGCATTCGTCGAATTTGATATTCAGTTGACTTGCTAGTATTGATTGATAAGACTTGATAATCATTATTTCTATAGATATCTACTGGCATTATTGAAAAAGTTGTTGTATTGTAAAAAAAGAAGTTATAATTTATTCTACACAATTTTAATGAATCATACGTATGATATAAAATTACTCAACATTTGAGAAATATGAATGACTCATACGAGCAATATTTGTCTAATGAAAAAAGATGACGTCAAAACATTACACATTACTTTTTTTTATCTATGTATTAGTTTCATTAACAAAAAAAAAAATTTTCAGCGAAAAATGACAACGTAGAAATGCGAACAGAATAAAATGTTTCGTTTTGTTACAGATAATAAAAAAATAACCATATGTAGCTATTATGTAGTTAATAAAATCACACCCAAACATGTGATTACCTTCGACTTTCTTTCGAATGTTAACATATAACAACGAATAGAAATGAATTACAATAGTCGAATTTTTATATTAGTTTATATAATAACATCGAACATGAACGTCTTGACATCAAAGAGAAACCATATTCGATTTTTAAATTATAGAGTGCGATAGTTACAAGTGTATTTCAAACGACAATAATAAACATTGTTCTGTATGAAAACGACGCAACCACTTTGACTTGTATGAAAAATCGATATGAATTTATTTAATGTGAAAATAACCTTAGGAAAAAAAAAAGCGAAACTCTTCTTAATATATTTATCTCGATAAACATGGCTACTGACTTTGATTAATGGCTGTAGTAAAAATGAAATTAATGGATATTATTTTTATATATTCGCATTTTTTAGCTTATCTTAGTTTATTAATAATACAGAAAAGGATGAAGCTATCTTTCATAAATAATATTCAGTATGAAAAAATATTGCATTATTTTTAGCTTTCATTGCTGATATTTCTTTTCAAGCTTCATCACAGGTTTCTTATCATTTAAGTATATCAGATAATAGCAAAGCAACTAGCATATTTTGTTTTTATGTAGAAAAACTAAAGGTAAACTATGGATAAACAATTAGCTTAAAATATATTCCTATTAGAAACGCTGCTTCAAAAACCAGTAAATCATTAATAGGAAAAGTTGAAACAACAAATGAAAATTGAATGAAAACAACAATAAACAAAAAGAAAAATGTAAGAATAAGAAAACGTTGAAATGAAAAATATACAGTAGGAAAATATCGAAGAAGTATATCTTAAAAATAATCTTTCGAATTCAAAAGATGTCACGAGTATATAAGATTTAAAATCTCTTGAAACTGGGACTGAATGAACTTTGCAAATGATTCACACATACACTTCGATTATATGAATAATTATGAAAGAAAATAATTTAGTAAACAAATTAGGTTATTCTCTAGATTGTTTGACAGCATATAATAATTAGAGACGGCAGATCACAGGAGGAAGATAAGGGCATGAAAAAAGAGAGATGAACATTTTTCTGAATCAGGTCCAACTAACAAGAGAAGTACCTGAAATGATATCTCGCATCTGAGATGAAGCTCTGGTCATTACATAGGGCCTTTTAGAGTTATGACTATTATATTGAATTTTTTACTTTGGACACGGTATTTCTAAAAAAACCGAACAAATGAATTTTAACCTAAAATATTGCCCATAAATAGTTCTTAAAGTCTTTAGTAGTTTCGGTAGAATATCATGGGCTTTTGTTGATTTGATATCTCAAGGAGATAGCATTTATTCTAGCTAAAATTATTAGAAGATTCTAATGACTTCAAGAGCTGTCTATAGACAAAGTTTTAGGCCAACATTTTTTTGTTTCGGTTTTTTTTTATAAATACCGTGCCAAAGGTAGAAAAAAATCAGTGTATTGGCCATAACTCCAAAAAGGCATTGCATGGGAAAGAAACCCTCTAGGTTTCTTCTAGTCTCGGCAGGCTCTACGTAATGACTGTAGTCTCATCTCAAACGTAAGGAATCATCTCGGGTGATTCCTTTGTAAGAAATATTATTGAAAATCAGTTTCAGTCAACAAATATCGTATGTCACATGTATGTATTCTGCCACCCGATATGGTATTTTGACTGGTATTCTTCTGATATGTTTCTTTCTCATTTTTATTTGTAAATAAAATCATTGAAATTTGAAAAAGATTTCAGATTTCGTATTATCGAAAATATTCGAATTGTAAATTTCAAATAAAATTTATGTTTTGCAATAAAATTCATGAAATTACTGTATTGTATCTAGTTAATTTTTAACACTATAAAAAATATTCTTTTTCAATTGAACTAAGTTCACATCAAAGTAACTGAACTCAAAACATAATTTTCTCACAGAAGAATGTAAATGCAGCGTACCACAGATCTGGAAAAGTATTTATCTATTACCGAAAAACTGAACAAAGCATTATTCTTTTCGACATTTTTCTACTCTATATTTTTCCTTTCAACGTTTTCCATCAAGCCAACATAGAAATTAAATTATAAGCAAACAAAAAAAAAATACAATATATATAACAACAAAAAAGTTTCAATCACTCATTCATATTAACGAGGAAACCATCCAAACTGATATCTGCTGCTTGAATTCATATCGGGGCGCATTTATAAGACTAGCAAAAGTCTAAAAGATCCTTTGGAGCACACTTATGATCGTTCTACTAAATTTTCGATCAAGCTTTAGGTGCGTACCAGAATAAAAACAAAACAGAATTTTTCGAAGTGAAATTTTGTCTGTATAGATAGATCGAATGATTCTTAGAATGTCCTGAAAGTTTTAGCCGAAAAGAATGTTCTTTCGTTAAGATAACAAATTTCCAAAAGATAATCACTTACTACAAATATGATACAAAAATGGAGGTTTACTTGAAAAGCCCAATATCTCAACAATGGAAAATTCTTTTCGGAATATTCTAAAAGTCATTCGACCTCTCTATGAGTGAAATTCCATTCAACGATTTTTCACTATTGATCTAAAGATGAGTCGAAAATTCGGTAAAACTATCTTAATTAGACTCCAAAGGTCGATAGAGAGGAACTATTTTAGATTTTTACTAGTCTCCTCAAAATATCCTTGTAGATCCGAATATAAGCTCAAACAGTGAGTATTGTTTTGTGTAGTTTTGTCGTTAGTACATTTGATGGTTATAGTATTTTATATTAGATAAATATTAATTAAATTACTTTGAGTAATTTTAAATTGATACTATGGAAAGTGTCAAATTTGTTTTAATTTTCTTTTCATAGAAAAAAAAATTTCAAGTAATTAATAATTTACATGAATGATTTTCATATACGTATTCTATTGATCTTCATTCTCAGATGAATTTCTTTATTTAATTATTTGATGATTTGAATATTCTCATCATTTCATTTCGTATATCCCAAAATGAAATACGATCTTTAGGATTATAAGCCCAACATTTTTTTAATACATCATAAATAATTTTAGGACAATCATCTGGTTTTTCATGTATCATTTGATTTACTTTAACATATTGAATAATTTGAATAATTTCATCATCATTATGTTTGATCGGTAAATTTGGATATACATCTGCATCTTCGTTCATCATAAGTTCTATAAATATCAGTCCATATGCCCATAGATCACTTTTCGAAGAAAATCTAGTTAATAGAGTTTCTGTAGAATCAATTAGTTGTTGATCATTAGGAGGCGATGGTAAACATTCAGGTGCTAAACGACGTGTTTGAAAGTTCAATTTTGAATTCTTTATTTTTTGTTGAAATCTTTCATTATCATCATCATCATCATCATCATCATCACCTTTTATAATAGCATGACCAAAATCAGCAATTCTTATAAAATAGTTTTTATCAATAAGAATATTTCCAGCATGTAAATCTCGATGAATAATATGTTTATATTCTAAATAAATCATACCACAAGCTATTTGATATCCAATCATTGATAATTTTTTTATTAAAAATCTTTCTGTATTTTTTATAATTGGACATAATGATTTTAAGGATTTTCCATTATCTGCAAATACTAAATATTTAATTTGATCTGTTTCATAACAAATACCATAAAATGAAATAATATGAAAATAAGAAAGATTTTTTAATATTGATAATTCATTTTGAAAACTTTGTTCATCATTTTGAATTCGTTTATTATATACTTCAATTGTAATACTACCATCTTGAAAATTACATATTGTATTTCCTTCTATATCATTATTATCATCATCAGATAAGTAAAGATGTATATATTGTTTTTGAAAAAGAGTTCGTTTGATTTTCCAATTCGTATCTTTATCTTTAACAATCCATTCTTGTTGTAATTTTGGTAACATATCAATTTCTGAATTATTTTCATTTCGTTCATATTCTTCTAAGATATTTACGGAATTGTATTCACCATTCGATCCAATTAATGGTAAACGATAATTCATAACTGGACATGGATACAAAGCTTCATCGACACGTACGGATAAAACAACATAAGGAGAAGAGTTTGTTTCTGATTTGATTTTAATTTGTGAAAGTATATCATCGTTTTTAGTTGAAGCTCGTATAAGATATGTTCCTAATGGTTTTGAAATAAGTTCATAAACGACACGAGATGGTTCAATTTTTTGAATTTGTGGTGTACTAATCATTGAAGTTTTCTAAGTTTTCATCTAAAACAATACAATTTAATTAATAAATAATATTTAAAAAAAAAAGAATGATAATTTAAAGCATTCTTCACGTTTTCAGTAGTAAAAGGAATGCAGTATATGTTAAGCAAATACATTTTATCTTTATATTCACCTAATTGTTTTTTCGTGGCGTAGTGTCAATAATCACGACCTTCGCAAGGGCATTATTTGAAATCAACCATATTTTTAAAGATATAAAACTCATTTGAATTATATCTAATGCATATATTTAACAATAATCAAGTTGGCTTTTTCCTGTGTACAGTTTTTTGCACAAATTTTCAATTGTCATGACAGTAATGACTTTCATATAGGGTTGCTTTTATTTTCTTATAATAAATAAAAGAACGAAAAAAAAAAAGAATACTTTACAATTATAAAGAGAGAATGTGACATAAATATTGCTATATATTAAAATTACTTATATTGAAAGCGCCATTTGATAAGCATCTGCATATGTAGAATAGTGTTGAGGAAGAAATCGAACTATATGAAAAATCATAGTTATCATATAATCTATATGCATGTATACTTGATGTATTTACTTCAAGTTCAATAATAGAAGCACCAAATTGATGAGCATAATTTATCATGTAGTGTAAAAATATTCCACCGAAACTATCAGTGGTAGAACTTTCAAAAATCCAACGATTTCAAAGTAGATTATCAAGATGATCAAAAAACTTTTCAGAAGGTCATGATTCATCAAGCCATGTGACTTGCTCGCTTTTAACTACTCTGTCAAAATTAGTTTCAAGCATTGGGCGAATTTGATATTGATTTTGTTTATTAGAAATCATTATAAATGTTTGATATACATCATTGATATTTATTTCCGGAGGCATTATACAAAACTATTCAAGCAGCAAAATATTGTATTTGTGTTTTTTGCATTGAATTGTATTGATGAATAAATCACTTCTACTTTAATCGTAGAATGAAAGGAATGTTGCTGTTATCTTTCTTTGTATAAAAACAAATACTAATATATTGTATACGTTATTCTATTATAAGTATAAGTAGTGTTCATGAAGAGTCGATTTATTTTATTCTAGACTGATGAAATAGCAGTATGGATATAGTTGCATTCACATATAAATGTGTACTGACGAAAATAATACACAGAAATAAAAATAGTATTATAACAAGTATATAGGGAGCTGTTATAAAAATTTATTTGAAGCATTGACTTAATAAATAAAAAACAATTTTCACGAAACGAATTTTTGTGTTAATGTAACACTTGCTTTTTGTTGGTTTTATTTCTATAGATATAATTTCATTTTAGAAAAAAATTTTCAGGAATGTATTTCTTTTAGCTGCATAATGTATGTGTGTGGATGTAGATTGTGTTTTCTCTTCACCTACATCCCATACTCACACTCACTCATATCCTTATTCTTCTTTGTTATCTCGATACATAGGTATTTTATATCCGTAACAGAAAAAAGCTTATCTTTTCCATCTTTTCGACAAATTAGTCCTTGTTCGCCGGTTCCAACATTGCTGAATGAATCCATAATCGAAAATGAGTCTGGACCAAATATGATCCGTTGCATATATAAGAGTTTATTATAATTACTTAGTTTACTAACAAATAGATTGGTTAACATTTCAGTTGGTAACTTTCTCAGTTAGTTACCATGTGAGTTGATAGGCTTTGAGTGTGGGTGTGGGTGCCGGTGTGAAGAAGAAAACATCCACAGCCATATCTACCTTACTGTTATATCACGAACTTCTTCTGTGAAAATAACCAAGAACGGGTAGTGAGTTGATACAAAACGACATACTGCAGAAGAAACTTGTTGTCTATTTCTGTTGACCATCGAAGGTTCAAAATCTAAGTTTTGCTGACCATTAATCATAATGCATGGAGCATCTTGATTTGTTAAAGAGAATTGTTGTTGAGGAGTAGCTCGGTGACGTTTATATAATATGCTACTCGAATTAACAACATGAGTCCAATATTCTTGACGAGCTTGAGGTCGAAGATCTTTATCTGATGTACCACTCAAATCGACGTGACCACGTTTCAAATTGACGGTTGTAGTGGACGTGTCCACGAAATCAGTCACCGAAGAGAGACACGAAGGGGAGATATTGGTATTCAGTTAGTATGCAAGAGAAGGTGGTTATCATTGTGTCGTGGTGGAATGCAGCACACTTCTCTGAAGAGAAAAATGGGGCGAATAAGACTTGTCGCTGATATCTTTTCCATTGATTGTTGAATCATTTGGTAAGTGGGGAATTTTTGACGATAGGATATTAACAGAGGATAGTTGTAGTATATTATATTATTTGTTCTCAGATGTTGTACTTGTTACTGTGATATTATGTCAAAGTCTAGTGGGACATCAGTTAATGTAATGTACATCGTTTAACCTTGGTTATCATCATACACATCATTTTCATAACCAATCTGAAAATTCGAGGGAAGAGTAGTTGAAAATCGAAATAGAGAGAGAATGCAGTGTAGAACTGTAACAAACATTGTGATTTGAACTAATCACATCGTATTTATTTATTGATATTTCGACAAATGTTCTTTTATCATCATCAGAATAAATATGTAATTACTTCACAATATGAACAACACACAAGGACATAGGTCAAATCACAGAAAAAGAAGAATAGAGGAGTGTGGATGTAGGTTTCTTCTCTTCATTCACACCCACAGCTTTGTTATGTAATAACACGGGGGGGGAATGAAATTTTAGGCACCAGAAAAAGTAGATTTTGTCTTTCCACTTCGGGATGTATCCGACAGACCTTCTTTGTCCCAGATAAAGTCTCAGCTTTGTTTTTTTTTTCAATTTATTTTATCACAATAATTATATTTGATAATAATTTCATGAATAGGCCAGTAATGAACTTGATAACGAATTTTGTTGTTACTGATATTGTGAAGTAGCTAACAAATGCACGTAAACAGATTTGAATCTGTATAAATAAATATTGCAAAGTTGAATTAAGTCTACAGACTTAACGATATCCATACATCAAAAATTTACATTAAGATTGTTTACTATAGTTTTCTAAGCTTCTACAAATCAAAAACGCGTAGAATAATAAACTATTTTGCAGGGTTTATTATTTCTATGTTTTTATTTATAATTGATTGATAATAAAACTCATGTAATGAATAATATATCATCTAGGACACGCATATTTGCAATAAGATACAGATTAGAAATAGTATAAAATCAATAGAAGTAAATTATTGTTGTTACAAAAAGAACTCAACATAACTCTATATGAATTTAATATTCAATCTATTTTTGATGTAAGCAAAAAGGTTACAATTCACTCTTCTAAATGAATCATTTTTTTCTCATCATACAACAGTGCTCTATCATGATTTGATCTTCTTTGCACTTTATAGAAAACAATATGATATAGAACAAGATTTTATTGTGAGAATTTTTATTATAAAACAAATATTAATCTATTATATTAATGTCAGTGAACTACCCATGACAGAAGTAATTTGAATATTATAGAAAGATAAAAAAGAATATTTCATATAAATTTCATATTGTTTTTGATTAAAAAGATATCTTTTACAGACGTACGTGTTATTTAACTATGCTTTTAATGACAAAAAACAAAAATGAAGAAAAGAGATAAGATTACAAATATTCAATATAAAAATAAGTAAATTGATTGGCATTTGTCTATTTTTCAGACAATGTTGGACCGGTTACGCGCGCTTACTCAATCGAGAAGTACTCTTCAACAACCACTTGAAGTAGTTAAATATGAAATTCAGTTTTTGTTCAGATCTATAAATGAACTTTTTAGGAGGAAGAACCGAATAGTAAAGAAGAGCAAAGAGAAGAATGGGATCGACCAATTGAATTTATTCTTTCATTAGTTGGTTGTTCTGTTGGTATGTATTAATAATAATAGTTTATCTCATCTTATTTGTTTTTTTGTTTTGATATTTCAGGTCTAGGTAATGTATGGAGATATCCTTACATTGGTAAGTAATGATTATAATTATTCTATGTTTTATTTCATTGTTTTTTTTTTCGTTTAGCATTTAAAAATGGTGGTGGTAAGCATATATGATAGTTATCTTGTCTATTGTACAGGTTTTATTAATATAGGTGCTTTTCTTATACCATATTTTTGTGTGTATTTTCTGATTGGAACACCACTTTATTTTCTTGAATTATCACTTGGTCAATTTACTAGTCGTGGTACTACAGCTGCTTTTAAAATGTCACGTATGTTTAAAGGTAATAAAAATATTTTATATTGATATGTAGATAAATGATATGTATATATGATATTAGGAGTTGGTTGGGCAATGGCAATTAATGCATTCCTTGTCACAGTCTATTATAATATAATTATTGCTTGGTGTCTATTTTATTTTTTTGCTTCATTTCGACGAAAACTTCCATGGAGTGATTGTGACAATTGGTGGAATACAGAAAGTTGTTCAAATCCAGGTATATATTTTAAAATGAAAGAAAATTTTATAAGATTATATTAATTGTTTTAGATGTATCAAAGAATTCAACAATAAATTATCTTTGTCTTTCAACTAATCCAATAAATAATTGTTCACTACCTACATCACCACCTGAAGAATATTTTGAGTAAAAAATTTTTAAATCCTTAGCTTTTTTTTATGTTTAAAGTTTAAATACAAAAAAAATATATGTTGATAGTAATTATGTTTTACGACGAAGTAATTCATTAGAAGCAATGGGTTCTCCACATTGGTCTCTTGCATTATGTTTACTGTTAGCATGGATACTTGTTGCTGCTTGTATTATTCAAGGCATCAAATCATCTGGAAAAGTAAATGAGAAAATACTTAGGGCATATGCACAGTAGTAGTGAAGGTATTTTAATTCCTCATGGAAAATTTCTCGAAATTAAGGAAAATCATCAAAAACTTCCACCACCGATCAATCTATCGGCTTGTATCTCTACTAGTACTTACC